TTGGTGCACTACTTAGTTCTATATTCTTGTATATTTATTCATTCATAAAGAGAAGTTCTTACTATTTTTTTTTTTTGAAATTCTCTTTTACTTATTCTTTTATTTGCACAAAATGGCTTATTGCAATGTACTGAACTATTTTATGTAATGCACATTTTGTTTTACAACATTATTTTTTAATATATATATATATTTATACGTTTAAATCTTTCACCTGCTTGCATCAAACTCAAAGTGATGTGATTTTAGTGTTTGTTCAAAAAATCTCACTCATTCGATGCTAATAAATTTGACATTTCACCAGGTTCAACTAAATATTGGACAACTGAGTTTGATGCTGCATTGAAGTTCTATGTTAGAGTGTTGTTCAAATGTTGGATGATGTGTGATTTTATGCGAAATATTAAAAATTATTTTGGATAAAAGATATTGAAATAGCATTATATAATGCATTTCAAATGTATTTTGGTGCGTAATAATTTCATCATTAATGTTACTTAATATCTCAATGCACTTTAACGTTTAGTTTAATGCACTTCGAGTAAATTACATAGTGCACAAAGCTTTGTGCACTTTCAATATCTTAAAAAGTGCATGATAAATATTTCAATACTTTTAAGCTTACATAGAAAGTGCATATTAATGACATAAAAAGTGCATGCACTTTAATGAGATAAATAGTGCACATTATTCAAATAAAAAGTATTATTTATAAATGTGCATGTTAATGTAACATAAAGCGCACGATATACTACAAGTCTTCAATGAAAAATATTTAATGACAACAAACTTATCAGATGCTCACATACAAGTCACAAGTGTATGATAATTCAATCATAATGTATCAATACTTTTCAGGTAAATTAAAGTGCACATTGTTTAAGTCCATGTAAATCCACATTAATGAAAATATTGTTAATTACTTTGAAATGCATTTTACAACAAAAACTAGACGCATTTTATAATTAATTCAACACTACAAAATAAATCTCAAGAAAATATATATAATATTATAGAAAAATGAAAAGAGAACAATTGAAAAGTAAGAAGTTACGATGCTCGTTGTTTATGCACTTATATGTCCATGCATGTTGCACTTTTAATATTATGATGCTCTCCTTAATTTTTGGGATTTTAATAATTAATTGAATTGCAAAACTAATAATTAATTAAAGATCTCAACGGCTCTCCTTTCTCATTTCTCTCCTAGAACATCTTTCTCACCGGAACCGCTCCCTATATATATATATATATATATAATGTTATAGAACTGTTCTCTAATGTAACGGTTCACATCATATATTTATATATACATACACGTACTAAGATGTTTTTTAAACTAGGACATAAGCAAACAAAATAAGCATGAAAAACAGGTATCATTTATTATGTTTTTATTCAAAATAAGAGCATGATACAAAAAAATAGGGGGGACATATACCTTACTCCTAAAAAATTAAGCACTACCACTAACCTAATACATGTGGGGTACTCCCAATTTCTAAAATTAAAACACCTCTAACATTTTAGGGTAAATTAGCACTATAAAGTTTTGCACTTGTTCGCCTCCCAGACAATGCTTTAATGATACCCTTCCAAGGTGAGAAGCTTCCAAAAAGGTGAGAAAGCTTCCGAAAGCCTTCGGGTGGGTGATAGATTATTGGACTTAAATTACATGTAATATTCACAATATATTATTTATTGAGTTTAATTGTAGTTATATGCTATCTTATATCTAGGCCCAAAAATTAGTGGTCCTATGGATATTAATTTAAGTGGGCTAATATGTTATCTAATAGGGTATAGGGCCCAAATGTGTAGAGACCCATGGGCTTAACCTAATTAATGATGGGCTGATTAGGGTTAAGCATTCTCTATAAATAGAGGGGTTATGGTCCCTAGTTGAACACATCATTCCGTCTTTCTGCATCCCATGGCTAGAGAGATAATTCCTGAGGGTGTGTATCAGTTAGAAGGCGCAAACTCTAGCCTTCGTCTCCCGGATCCCTAAAGATCATCTCCCATGGAGTCAGGTACGCTTCCGCTCAGTTATTTCTCTAGATAATTCCAATATGAAGATTAAAGTATTATCATATTTATTCCAACAATTGATATCAGAGACAGGTTCATATTGAATTATTTGGAGTATTCATAGTTTTGTTTCAATCTTGAATGATTGAATTTCTGGAATTTCTTTTGTCATATGATCTGACGATTAAATAGAATCAGGGTAATGCGATTTTGCACTTATGCAATTCGTTCCTGTCGAATCAACAATTGATGATCAATGAGAATCATTATATTTGAACTAGATGATTCATATTTTTTTCGTCGTGATTCACGATTGAAATTTTTGGCATTTATGAGTATTTTCTTTTCGACACATACTCTGTCGAGTCAAGTTTTATGTGTTATATTTTATCCGTGTTTGGATCAGGATGTTCGCATTACCGATTAATCCATTGGGATGATCAAGTATTTTTTTTTGCGTTCTTAAACTTTAATGTACAGCTCGAACGAAATTGATAAATTGCATTGAGCAATTATTTTGCTCTCTTTGATGTTGCCAAATCTGGAAGTGACGCACTGCTAAGCTCTTTTCATTCTTTATATTTTTTATATTTATTTATTTGTGAAGTCAATCAATCCTACGATTGATTTTTCGGGAAGGTGGATTTAAATGTTAACGAATCCTCTTTTGTATTTCTTTTGATTTGAATCATCAGTATTATAAATACTTTATTAAATGCGGCAGAGCGAGTTGATTCATAGTGAATCATATTTTAAGCTATTGTTCAATTTAAGAAATTATCGTATGTACTACTTTTGTTCTTGATTTGGAACCAATTATCGAGACTGCCGAATTATGTGTATCAAGTTAAAATTTTGATATGGTTCCTTTCTCGGCGATTCAATTATGTGTATCAAGATAAAGTTTTGTTAAGTCCCAAAACTTAACAATCGAACAATCATAGCAGGTATAAATAAGCAGATAGAAAGATATCAAGATAAACAACACCTTTGGTATACCGTGTAAACTGGCCGCTGCTCCCCCTGGGGAAGGAGAGCAGCGGCAAACCCTAATCTCTCTATCTCTGCGCCTCTATTCTCTAAAGCCTTGAACATTTTTGGGTTCCCGTAAGTTAGCCTCCTTTTATAGGAGAAGTTGGCTAACTTACAGGTTACAAAGAAGCTAATGGGCTGATACACATTTGTGGCCCGTATTACACGTTTAATTAATAAATACACAAATACAAAGATATTTAATTAGATTGGAAACCATAAAATATTCCTAACAATTTCCCGCTTGGTGTTTAATCGTGTTGAATCAACATTGCAGCGCGAATATCTTTGTCTTTGTTGTTATTCAGCTTCCTTTGTCTTTGAACTTGACTTCTTGAGAAGGCTTCATGAAGAAATCCTTGCAATCTCCCCTTTGATGTCTTCTTGGCAATTTAATCTTTGATGCCGAGGTTGAGGGATCTTCAGTATCTTGCATGTAGTCCTTGCCTTCTAGAAGTTGCTCTTGATCAGTTTGGATGAAGTCCGGTGACGCCTCTAGAATAAATATTCTTTGGAGAATAGGAGACACCCATGGAATTCATCTTCAGGACACGAGTATTTGACCTCTGTCTCATTCACAATGTAGTCTTTTTGACTATTTGAAAAGAATGCATTTGAGGAGAACTTGTCCGTGGCACAGCGGAACATAATGATGGTTGACTTGTGAGCGTAGCTGACCATTTGAGTTGCGGAGATGGTAGAGAGAGTGTTGAAGGACATAAGTGTCCCAGAATGATTTTTTTTTGACAGTTAAAAGCATGTGGACCACTCTCCCCCTCATGACGATCCGATAACTCGGTGCGTCATGCCTTTATTCTTTTATTCTGCGGAAATGGAACAGGAAAAACAAGCAGAATGTAAAGAAGATAACGTAGCCCCCCGGGGCCGTGAAGACGCTCGTTATCATCACTATAGAGATAAACTCTGAAGCGATGGCCTGAAAATGTTGGTGATTCTTATGTTGCAACAGCAGGACTTCCTTCCAATCATTGGTCTACATCTGTAATAGATGAGCCCTATGGAAGTTCTCGCGGGTCATGTAGACCTGCAACTGACTCAAAAAGTGCGTCTGTGTCCTAGAAAATTTCAAAACATTTGGGAGTGAGGTAACTAGACACGACGTGATCAATGAAAATTCAGTGGCATGGGGCTGAGGCCACTGTAGTCAGTATCACTTTCCTCGGAAGGAGACAATAATGAGAGATGCGGTTCCCCGTGAAATATGATTAAGCACATGTCTGTTGGGAGACAAGTGAGTGGTCTCGGGTAGGGTTAAACATGTACTGTTGGACAAGATGCAGTGACTTCTACCCGAGATTTGATTAAATCAGTCCTGAACCTCTTTGGTAATTGTCCAGAGTATTTGAGTGCCTAGGAGTAAATGTTCAATACATGTTCCTAACTCTCATAATTATTACTCACTCACTCACTCATCATTGATTATTGTTATACTTCTCACTTGAGCCTTCTGCTTCCTAACTCTCATAATGATTACTCACTCACTCACTCACTCACTTACTCTCGGCTTTGTCCCTTGGGTAGGCTTAGTTGGGTTTACTAAGCCATAGGAACATGTTCTCTCATTGATTTTCTCTCTGTACTCCCCCTCAACTGGAGCACTCGGTATGCTTTGTCATTGTTAGGTACCGGGGAGGATAACATTGAACACTCCCCCTAGAATGTTGCATCCGTTGAGAGATTCCTTGCTTTGTCAGTGTAAGGCGCCAGGAGGAGAAAACTGAAACTCCCCCTCAGAATGTGAAAGGATTGATTGCTCACAGCTCGTCATACCCGCCATGTGTGTGGAGCAATCTGAACAGGTACCACACATGGCGGTTTCTCTAAACTCGTCATTTGGAATTTCAGCATGTTTGAGATCAAACTTGAGGTCAGAACTCGAGGTTTCAAACTCGAGGTCAGAACTCGAGGTTTAAACTCGAGGTCAGAACTTGAGGTTTAAACTCGAGGTCAGAACTCGAGGTTTAAAACTCGAGTTCATGACCGCGAGTTTAAAACTCGAGTTCATGACCGCGAGTTTAAAACTCTCGATTTTAAAACTGTCGAGTTTAGGAATTCGAGACCCAAAATGTAGAGTTCCTGCAAAAAGAAAACTTCGAATTTTGAGAATCTGAAAACTGTTCTGAATAGCCCTGAAGGTCGAGATTCTCCTGTATCAGTTTGAAGTCAAAAAACGATTATGCTGCAGTGTAAAAGCATAAACTCTACATTTCATGTAGAGTTCTTCAAAAATGAAAATTTGCAGAAATCGAAAAAGAGGATATGTTGTAGAATCGGTTTTGAAAGGCGATTCCAACAGTATAATTTTTACAGATTTTCGTTCACAAACAAGATTACAGGAGCAAAACTATATATTGAAGAAAAAGAGAAGAAAATTAAAGCAGAGCAGTTCTTCGTTAGATCCAAAAAATCGCAGATAGATTCAACCTGTTTCACGCCTCACCCTGATACCAATTGAAAGTCCCAAACCTTAACAATCGAACAATCATAACAGGTATAAAGAAGCAGATAGAAAGATATCAAGATAAACAATACCTTTGGTATATCGTGTAAACTGGCCGCTGCTCTCCCTGGAGAAGGAGAGCAGTGGAAAACCATAATCTCTCTATCTCCGCGCCTCTATTCTCTAAAGCCTCGAACATTTTTGGGTTCCCATAAGTTAATCTCCTTTTATAGGAGAAGCTGGCTAACTTACGGGTTACAAGGAAGCTAACGGGCTGATACACATTTGTGGCCCGTATTACACGTTTAATTAATAACTATACAAATACAAAGATATTTAATTAGATTGGACACCATAAAATATTCCTAACAGAATTTTACTGACTTTGGTAATTAAGTACTCTACATATATGTGATTATTACCGGTATTCACAATTAAATACTTATATGTAATCACGGTCAATATAAATTTTATCAGAAATGCATAATTTTGATATTACTGGAAAAAATTATTTTGTTAGTCGTTGTAATTTGCGGCTTGAAAAGTATGTATTATGTGTTATGGATGTATAAACCCTATTTTGCGATTACATAGTGATTGAGTACAAATTTTACAAATTATCGTTATACATAACACATTTGCATGTGACTCAGACAAATTCGCCCAATTTTATTTTTAGATTTTTTATTTAATATTGGCATGTCTAGTATTTGGGTTGCTTAATTGACACAACATGCTGCCAAAGTAGCCTCTCTTGTTGAAATTAATTAACTCATATATTAAGATGATTGTGTACTTTCTGATTTCATGCGGATAATAATCGGCCTAAAGGAAGTTTATTATTTGGCCGAAATTTAATAAAATTTGTGATGATTATGAAGTTTTTCGTGTGAATATTGAGTCGGTCCAAAGAAAGGCTTGATATTTGACATGATTTTATTATCACACCAAAAGTACCACTTTCAAGTCTAATTTATGTCCAAAGACAAGATTAGATGTTGCGCTAGGTATCTTGTGATGGGGATTGCTAATATTTAAATTTAAAGTTAATTATCAAATTAATTTCACTTCCTAGAGCATATCATTTATATTATTTTTTGTTCTCTTTCGGTCAACAATTCTGCTGCTACAATATCTGCTAATATTAATAGCATCTCAATGCTTAACGGCACAAATTTTAAGGAATGGAAAGAGAACGTTATGATTGTTCTCGGTTGCATGGATCTAGACCTTGCACTTCGGATTGAGAAACCCGCCGCTCTTAAGGACACATCTACCCTTGATGAAAAGAGGGAGATGGAGAGGTGGGAACGCTCAAACCACATGAGTCTAATGATCATGAACGTGTAATTCCATAATCATTCAGGGGCACAATGTCTGATGAGGCTGATGCCAAATCGTTCCTTGCCGAACTTGAAAAGCGTTTTGCTAAAAACGAAAAGGCGGAAAGTAGTACTCTTTTGAGCACTCTTGTTTCCATGAAATACACAGGCAAAGGGAACATAAGGGAGTACATTTTGGAAATGTCTCACATTGCTTCAAAACTAAGTGCACTAAAGCTTATTTTACCTAAGGAATTGCTTGTGTATTTAGTTTTGATCTCTCTTCCTTCTCAATTTAATCAATTTAAAGTCAGTTACAACTGCATTAAGGAGAAATGGTCTCTCAATGAGCTCATTTCTCATTGTGTTCAAGAAGAAGAGAGAATAAAGCAAGATAAGAAAGAAAATGCTCATTTGGCATCTACCTCTAAGGGCAGCAAGAAAAGAAAAATTAAGGAAACTGTAAATTCAGGGCTTCCAAGGAAGCATCACAAGGAAACTAAGGAAGAAATTAAGGAATCTAAATGCTTCTTTTGCAAAGGGACTAATCACAAGAAAAAGAATTGCACTAAGTACCACGCTTGACATGCGAAAAAGGGTATGTCTCTTGCTCTTGTTTGTTCTGAGGTAAATTTAATTTCGATACCAAAAGACACTTGGTGGGTATATTCCGGTGCTACTACTCACATAAGTGTATCTATGCAGGGTTGCCTGAGCTGCCGAAAACCAATTGATGGTGAAAGATACATCTATGTCGGTGATGGCAAGCGGGTTGAAGTTGAGGCTATCGGTGTTTTTAGATTATTATTAAGGACTGGTTTTTATTTGGATTTGAAAGAGACATTTTTTGTGCCGACATTTAGGCGGAATTTAATTTCAATTTCTGCATTGGACAAATTTGGTTATTCTTGTTCATTTGGAAATAGTCAGTTCACTCTATTTCAAGATTCAAAACTTATTGGTACTCGTCTTTTATCAGTTTATGATAATCTATATTCACTTGATATAAATACCTCATATAATGAAACCTTGCATGTAAGTACTCATGGTACTAAAAGAAAATTAACCAATGAGAATTCATTTTCACTATGGCACAAACGTTTAGGACATATTTCTAAAGAAAGAATTCAGAGACTTGTGTCAGAAGGAATTCTTGATTCCCTTGACTCCTCAAATTCTGATATTTGTGTTGAGTGCGTTAAGGGAAAACAAATGAACAAATGAAAATTTGGTGCCGAGAGAGCTTCAGATCTATTAGAATTGATATATACAGACATTTGTGGACCATTCCCCACACCATGTAGAAATGGTCAAACATAATTTATCACATTCATAGATGATTACTCTTGTTATGGTTACCTTTATCTCATTCATGAAAAGTCTCAATCAATAGATGTGTTCAAATCTTATAAGGCCGAAGCTGAAAATCAATTAGGCAAAAGAATAAAACCAATTAGATCTGACCGTGGTGGTGAATACTATTGTAGATATGATGGTTCCGGTGAACAACGTCCAGGGCCATTTGCTAAATTCCTAGAGGAATATGGAATTGTTCCTCAGTACACCATGCCAGGAACTCCTAGCATGAATGGTGTTGCTGAGAGACGAAACCGTACATTGAAGGACATGGTTAGGAGTACGATTTGTCATACTACTTTACCAGATTCCCTCTAGGGGTGGGCACGGGACGGAACGGGACGGGAATTAGACTATCCCGGTCCCGAACCCGGTTTAGGATAACGGGACAGAACGGGATGGGACAAGATGTTGTCCCGGTGTTGTCCCTTTTAAACCGGTACCGGAACTGAACGGGACGGTTCGGGACATCCCAAAAAAATTGCAGCAAAAAAAATACAGCTCCAAAAAGAAACTTCATGACAAAAACTACAACACTAAAAATGCAACACATACAAAAGTTTACGATAAATGCAACACAAAAAATAGTAGATTAATAGGATAGTTGCACGAAACAAACCGTAACAACAACAATTAACTCCAACACACACAATACTACTAAGAAACTACAAAAATAAATAAAAAGACAAACAATATTATTAGAAGTGAAACATGTGAAGTATAGGTGAGTTTCTTTTTAGTATGTAGAAGATAGTTCATACTTGATATAATTTAGACTCCTTTAGGTGTTTTACATATTAGATAACTAATACCTAATTGATATTAATATTCATTAGTATTTGAATTGATGGTAGACTCACTAACCCACAACTATATACTCCGTACAATTTTGAATTCGGGACAACGGGACAGAACGGGACATATTTTATTTGACCCGGTCCCGTTTTGTTTTGAAACGGTTCGGAACCGGAACGGGACAAAAATAGTTTGTCTTGAATTTAACGGGACAATTTCGGAACGGAACAGGAACGTTCCAGAACGGACCAACGGGACCGGGTCTTTTGCCCACCCCTAATTCCCTCTGGGGAGAGGCACTGAAAACTGCAGCTTACATACTTAACAGAGTTCCCACTAAAGCTACAACTAAAACCCCTTATGAAATTTGGACTGGAAAGAAACCCAGTATAAATCATTTCCATGTTTGGGGTTGTCCAGCTGAGGCAAGGCCTTATAGGCCAAATGAAAAGAAATTGGACTCAAGAACAGTTAGTAGCTATTTTGTAGGATACTCTGAGAGGTCAAGGGGGTATAAATTTTATGATCCCACTACCAGGACTATTTTTTGAGACGGGTAATGCCCGGTTCTTTGAGGATATTGAGTTCGGGGGGTGAGGAAATAAGGTTAGAGATTTTGTCTTTGAGGAAGAGCATGTTACTCTTCCTTTAGTTGTCATTGAACATGATCAAAATATTTTTATTCCTCATAATGTTCAAGAAACAACTCCAGTTCAGGACAATCTCGAAAATATTCCCAATCAAGTACCTGAAATTATTAATGAGGATCAAACTCAACAACCTCAAGAGCCTGAGGTGCCATTAAGGATATCCACTCGAGAGAGGAGAAGTGCAATTCCAGATGATTATATTGTATTTCTCCAAGAACATGAAGAAAATTGGGAATTGGTGGAAGAAATAATTGTCTTCCTCCAAGAACAAGAATCAGATGTTGGTTTTGCGGAAGATGATCCAATCAACTTCCATCAAGCCATGGAAAGTTCTAACTCTCAAGAATGGATTAATGCTAAGAAAGATGAGATGAAGTCTATGGGTGACAATGCCGTTTGGGAGTTAGTCTCATTGCCTGAAGGTATTAAACCCATTGGTTGTAAATGGATATTTAAAATCAAGAGGGATTCAAAAGGGCAAAGTTACAAGGTTTAAAGCTCATCTTGTTGTTAAAGGCTACACTCAAAAGAAAGGAATTGACTATAAAGAGACTTTCTCTCCGGTATCTTCGAAAGACTCTTTTAGAACAATAATGGCATTAGTGGCACATTTTGATCTTGCGCTTCATCAGATGGATGTAAAAACTGTATTTCTCAATGGTGACATTGTGTCACGCCCCGGACCGCATCCGAGCCACGTAGACAACCGCCGTACAACCCGATAAGAACAACAACAGTTCATCCCTATTGAGTTGTACAAGGCGTCCGATTGATTCTATTGCCAAACCGATTAGTAAACACATACAATCAACATCAATATCATAATAAAACAAATGCGGAAATAATAAAATGTTTGATACTTAGCCACACGTGGCAAACACGGGCACGCAGGCCCCCAACTGTTTTAATGAAAATATTGTTCAAAAATCCATGAGCGGTTTATACATTTGAAATAAGAATGGAAGCACGAACCACGTCTTCCTTCTCGATCAGTCACCCTAGGCAAAGGTGCAGGTAGTAGGACTCTAGCCTCAACCTGAAAATGTGAGGGCCCCCGGAGGGGTCAGTACTCCATAGAAGTACTAGTGACAAGTAGGCTATATGAAGAATAACTAATGTTTCAGACACGAGACCCAAAAATAGGGTGATACATATATATATGTGACTCATTCATCCGATGATACATACTGTATTTATATATGTAAAATACTCGACCCGTAGGTCATTTCATTCAAAGAGTCTTTTAGAGATAAAGTTCTTACCTGACCTTTTCTCACTCCTTTCCCGGTTACCTAGCTCACAAGCTATAGTCTACCTTCGATTCATACTACCGAGTGTTTTAGGATCATTTACCGTCCAAGGCACTCAACCCATCCTGGAGTATTTAAGATCATTTACCGTCCAAGGGTACTCGGCCCCACCTGGAGTATTCTGGATCATTTACCGTCCAAGGGTACTCGACCCCACCTGGAGTATTCTGGATCATTTACCGTCCAAGGGTACTCGACCCCACCTGGAGTATTCTGGATCATTTACCGTCCAAGGGTACTCGACCCCACCTGGAGTATTCTGGATCATTTACCGTCCAAGGGTACTCGACCCCACCTGGAGTATTCTGGATCATTTACCGTCCAAGGGCACTCAATCCCCAGTCTATTCTCTACCAAATCCTAACCTGGATATGGCTAACCTTTCATTCCTTTAACTATGGACAATGCCTAGCCCTATAGTCATATAACAATCCTTAGGATCCAACGTGGGCGGGTCCCACCCGAACGGCCCACGTTAACCTACTCAAAACTGCCCATTCTGGGCTTAACCCAAGACCCGGTCGGGTATCCCACCTTACCCGGTCGGGTGGGGTGAGGCAGTAGCCCCTGGAGCCAACTTTACTTGAGACCCGGTCGGGTCTACACCCATACCCGGTCGGGTCTAGTGTGGCAGTGGCTTCTGGAGCCATTTTTAATCAAAACCCGGTCGGGTATTCACCCATACCCGGTCGGGTATCACCTTTGTCTTGGCGGTCAACGCTCGTTTGACCGCCCAAACGAAGTCCGATTAACGTGAAATTTTATACACTTATACTTCTTGACGTCCTTGATCCAAAAATACCATTTTGGATCCCTGGAACATCACACATAAGAAGTTATCACATTTTTGATCACCAAACCTACATAACATGCTTTTCAATTATGTTTTGTGTATAATCATGGCATAAACACACACTTGGTTATCTTTAATCATTCCACAAAACATATTCCTGATTACTTTAGGTAATCTCATGCCACACGCAAAAGTTATAAAGCATAAAGCTGTCTTCTCACCTTAATGAAGCTTATGAAGTTCTAGCCTTCCCGATTTAGCTCCGACGAAACTCCGGCGAACTTCAACGAACTCCGGCGACAACTCCGGCGACCTTTTCAACTCCGTGAAAGTTCCTTGAATACCTTAGACAAGTTACTAACAAGGTTTTATCATCATAAAACCCATAGTAATACAAATAACCTCAAAAAGGTTATTTTCCGGCGAACCGGTCACTTTGGCTTCTAAGTCCGTTCTTGGACTTAGAACTACCTTCCAACCCCTATTTCTACACATCCCAACGTGTAGAACATTACTAGGGTGTGAAATATGATTGAATAATCATAAAAGAGTATTGAAGAACAAGAAATGGGATTTATTGAGTCATTACCTTGTTAAACACAAGTTTTCCCACCTAAACTCCTCTTTTCTCTTCTCTTTTTCCTTTCTTCTTCCTCCCTCCATTTGGTGCGTGTATGATGGATGAAAATGGAGTTCTTGCAGAGCTTCTCTCCTCCAAAATGATGGTTGGGACGCAGTGTATGGGCTGGGGTGGTTGAGAGTGTCCTTTTTGGATCATTCATCAATGATATGAGGGAGGGACCCCTTTTCTTTCACACTTTGTCCCCCATCCTCCTCACTCTCTATCAGCAGCCAAAAGGTGCGGCTCCCCTTTCCATTATCAAGCCTAAAAACGTGGGTTGGCCCCCACTTATGTGGGAGGTCAACCCTTTGTGTACCCGAGTGTACAATCGGTCCCGAAAGTTGTATTTTCTGGACTGTTTTAAGTATATTTTGTTTTATCGGGTCAAATAAAATATAACACTCGTTCCCAATCCTTATTGGACCTTA